AGGGAATACTGTTCACAAATTTCTTTTGCTTTTATATTAGAATAGATTAACTTATACGGAGTATGTTGATTTGAATCATTACCTACTCTTTTGTCCATCTTATACCACTCGGAAAATAGGGAAAACTGTAGATTTGTTCGTACTTTTATAAAAACTTTCAATTGAGTCCAATTACAGGTTAATTGCCATTAACCGATGCCTGATTGCTTCCACATGTGTACCACCTCAACAAAATTATTGCTGAGCGGGCGACCTGCTGACATGGCAAATAACTTTCAAATGGACTCAATTGAACGTTTTTACAAAGTTCGGGGACTTGATTGATCTTTTTAAAGTATGAGGACCTAATTGACTTTTTCAAGAAAGTACGAGGACTAAATTGACAGTTTTCCCTGCAAAATATTATCTCTGACCCAAGGTTCACAGACAAAAAAAAAAAGAAAAACGATACAAACATAGGTGGGTACAAAAGTGGTTATAAGAGTGGGTACAAAAATCATTTTTGAGTGGAATTTTATCAATTCAGGACCTGAAAGATAAACGAACTATCAATTCAGGACCTGAAAGAGGTCCTGATTGAAATCTAGGACCCGAATGATTGAAATCTATCAATATAGGACCTAAATTTTCATACATTTTATTGATTTTTTATTTTAAAAAATTAAATATTATTTAGTTGTATTAAACTAATAAACTTTTGTGAAGAAAAAATCATCAAATGTTAGCAATGGATTTATTAAGAAAATAAATAAATCAAAACTTATGAAATGTTAGGTCCTAGATTGATAGTTTTTCATCATTCGAGTCCTATACCGATACATTTCATCCTTTAGGTCTCGAATTGATCTCGTGTATCTTTCGGGTCCTGGATTGATAAAATTCCGTTTTGAGAAAAAATCATCAAATGTTAGCAATGGAATTAATAAGAAAATAAATAAATCAAAACCTATGAAATGTTAGGTCCTAGATTGATAGTTTTTCATCATTCGAGTCCTATACCGATACATTTCATCTTTTAGGTCTCGAATTGATAACTCGTGTATCTTTTGGGTCTTTTACATATAAATTGAGAATATGACATGCACAACGTTGATGAGAAAACCTACCCAACAAAGTAGAAGCACCACACAATTCACGCAATCTAGGTATAGCAACAGTATTATTACTAGCATTATCAAAACCTATAGCAAACACCTTATCAGTCATATTATACTCAATTAAGATACGTTCAATGATAATATAAATATTATCAGCGGTGTGTCGATCATTAAATTAACGAGAAGCAAGAAAACATTTATGCATTTCCCAATTATCATCAATATAATGTGCAGTCAAACCTAAATAATACACATGATGATAAGTATCCTCCCATATATCACTACAAATGCTAACACGACCATTAAAGTTTGCGAAAAACTTCTGTAAATTTGCATTATTCAAACCATATTGCCTTATAACTTCTTTTAAAATCGTTTTGCGACTATAATTTCGGAATTGTGGATTTAAAGAACCTTGAGCATAAACTTTTAAAGCAAGACTTTCAGAAAAAATAAAAGACAATTTTTCTTCAACAATTAAGTGAGACATAACAGTTAAATGTTTCGAATCATCATAGGAGAAATTACCATAGGGTTGGCCAGTTGCAACTACTTTTATATTTTAAACTAACAAGCGCAGTAAAACTAATTAACTAAAATTCGAACTAGTTTTGTAGTTTAATTAACTAAAATTTCAACTACTTTTATATTTTAAACTAACAAGTGTAGTAAAATTAACTAAAATTCGAACTAGTTTTGTAATTTAATTAACTAAAATTTCAACTACTTTTATATTTTAAACTAACAAGTGTAATAAAATTAACTAAAATTCAACCTAGTTTTGTAGTTTAATTAACTATAATTCCAACTACTTTTATATTTTAATCTAACAAGTGTAATAAAATTAACTAAAGTTTGAACTAGTTTTGTGATTTAATTAACTAAAATTCCCACTACTTTTATATTTTAATCTAAAAAGTGTAGTAAATTACTTTAATACTTCAATATAGAAAGTGTAGTAAAAGTAACTAAAATTCTAACTAATTTTATATTTTAATTAACTAAAATTCCAACTACTTTTATATTTTAGTAGATAACAAGTGTAGTTTAAATAACTAAAAATGCAACTACTCTTATATTTTAATCTAACAATTTTTATATGATTAATATAAGTATGTAACAAATATGGTTTACTGATATGATAATGTGACAAGTATATCAAAACCAACTAACAATGCAAATAATATTAGTATGTAACAAATGAGAATGTAACAAATATTAAAGGCGACAAAATAAAATTGTAACAATTAACTAATATTAAAATGTATGAATGTATACTAATTATTGGGAGTGTGAGTGTGTAACTAATAGGATAAATTTAACTAATATTAATTAAAGTGTAACGAATATATAATATAATGTTTATAGTATATAATATATAAGTATACTATTCTAAGATGAGTATACACTTATATTTAATACCTTAATATATATACTCAATATATTAATTAGATGTAGTATATGGAAATATAAGTAAATAACAAGTATATAATAAGTAGATATTAAGTACATATTACGTAGATAATAAAAAGATAAAATTCATACCAATAATTCGCACTTTTAGTGATTCTACAATAATAATCTCTACTGAAAAATCAATACAAATAATCCAAACTCGTAAATATGTCTAGATAGATAGATTAAACCATCATAGATAGTTAAATGATATAAAAAACACTAAACTCACATGTATGACAATGGTGAACAAAGTTAATAGTGTATCCTTATATAATAAATATAAAAAAGATTAATCTAATCTATCTATGTAGACATTAGTCATGGACCGGTCCAGGCCAGACCGACCCGGCCCGCTAGTGTGCGGGCCCGGACCGGTGAACCGGTTCTGGTTCGGGGACTAGGCCCGGCCCGGGGGCGGTTCCGTTCCATACCATCCTTTGGAACCGGCCCGGTCGGGCCAGGCCCGGTTCGGGCCTTTTTTTCCTTCAGTTTTTTGGGTTTTTCCCTGAGTTGGGCTGGGTGTTTTGGGGTGGGGGTTGAGGGTGGGGTTGGGGGTTAATTACAAAAGCAAGAAAAACACAAAACCGGCCCGACCCAGACCCAGACCCCGATGAAAACCCGGGCCGGTCCCGAGCCTTCCCCCAAAACTCAAAAGCCCAACCGAGCCTCGTACACATGTTTATGAGTATGGATTATTTATATAGACATCTTTGATAGGGACTATTATTGTAGAACCGCTAAAAGTATAGATTATTGGAATGAATTTCGCCTAATAAAAATGAGTAGATATAATATACTCCCTCCGTCCCCTTAAGTTTGTCCCGTTTCACCTTTTTCGTCCGTCCCACTAAGTTTGTCCCATACCATATTTGGTAACATTTGAGTGGTTAGAATTCATTCTTACTTTATTTACACTTTATCAATTCAATACCAACCACACAATTCCACTTTTTCTTAAAAACCACACCACACCCCTCCGTCCCAAACTTAGGGGGACGGAGGGAGTATGTATTTATAAGTAGTTAATAAGTATATAAGTAGATATTATAATTGTAGAATCCTATTCTTGTCCAGCCGGCCTGATGGGAACTGTCGTCCGGCCGAGGGCATTTCAGGGACTTCCCGATGGATTTTTTTAATGAAAATTTTTGAGCATATTCTTCATCAAGTCTAGTTTATCCATATCAAATTTCAGCTAAAAATTTAAACGGAAGACAGTCAAATAAATTATTTACAAACACTGCACAGTTAATACATAAAAACAGCGCAGTATTTTTCAAAAATTCATTTGACACTCTTCCCGATTAAATTTTCAGCTGAAATTTGGTTCGAATAAAAGTAGACTTGATGAAGAACCAGCTAAAATTCATTGAAATATTTCACCGGGAAACGCTCGAAATGCCCTCAGCCAGACAGCGGTTCCCGTTAGACCAGCTGGACATGAAAGATTCCCTATGATTATAGTATATAATATATAAGTATACTACTATAAGATGAGTAGTACACTTATATATTTAATACTTTAATATATGTACTCAATATATTAATTAGATATAATATGTAAATATAAGTAAATAAAAAGTATATAATAAGTATATATTAATTATTACATAGATAATAAGTATATATTAAGTAGATAATAAATATACGCATATATAATATATGTATATAGGTAGATATAGATATGAATAATATTATATATATTAATAAGTGTAGAGAATGAAAGAATTGGAGAAGTTGAAGATGGAGATGATTAGAGCATATTAGAGAGTAGGAAGAAAAGCATTGGAAATTAGGAGTTTTTTGTAGTTTTTTGTACCCCACCCCCCACCCCCCAAACCCCTCAGAGTCTCACACAGGCTCTAACGGCTATCGAAACAAAAAAAAATGATCTTTAGGTCCGGACCAGCCGGGCCGCTCATCACTTTTGAGGTCCCGTATCCCCCACCCCCAACCCCCGGTTCTAGCCCAAAGCCCAGTCCTGGCCGGGTTGGGCCGCCAAGCCGGTACCGCACAGTGGCGATCCGAGCCGGGTACCTGGCTGGTTCAATCCACCCCTAGTAGGGGTGGATTCGGGTCGGGCCACCCGGCCCGCTAGTGTGGGGGGCGGGGCCGGCCGGGTCGGGCCCGGGCCAAATTGTTTTTTTTTTTTTTTTTTTTTTTTTCATTTTTTGGGGTTATAGCCGGATTGGGCTTGACGGTTAGGAGGGGTTTGGGGGGGGTGGGGGGAGGGTTAGGAAAGCAAAAAAAATACCCAAACCTGAGGCCCGGACCGGTCCCGGAACCATCAATCCTGAACCGCTGGCCCGCCCGGGCCTAGGCCCGAGTCCACGTCTGACCCCTAGGTACGATTCCATGTAGTCTATGTACGTCACTACGTCTTCCACTTGTTAGTAATATATACTAATACTACGTAATATTTTAAACATGTGTGATGTGTCACAATTCGCAAACATAGATCTGAAGCTTTATTTAAAATAATCCCTTAACATCAGTGGTGAACCCAGGTTGGCAGAGTTTCACATAGGCATGGACCCGGTATGTTTGTCCAGCCCGGTCCAGAACAAGGTCTGGCGCTGTGCAGGACCGGGTCCATTTTTCCAGTTTAGGGTGAAGACCGGTTACCCGACCAGGTGTATTAGTGTATAGGATACCAGGTCCCGATTCAATGATTTGGGGACCAAATTCGGTGCAAAAAGTACCTGTCCAGAACTGGGACCGGACCAACCCGGGTCCATGCCTACTGACTAACACTTTAGCCGGACTCCGGTAGTTGAGGTCTTGAAGACATTTTTTAGGCCCAAAAAAGAGACCATTACTGGAATAATTCATAATATAATGCTACAGCCTTTTGGCGTTAGGAAATTGAAAAAAGGTACACATTGAACTGCACTCCAACGCAAATGCATATCCTAGCGAGCACCAATAGGAGAAGCAAAATGGAAGAGACTAAACCCTCATCTAATTCATCTTGGAAGCCGTATATATTAGTGCATGTTCTCTGGCATCCCACCTGATACAACACTATCGTCTACCGGCTTAGGCCCTCCACATGACCTCGAAACTGATTCAAAAAGTTTCTCAATTTCGGGCGCACACCTGGTGAATGACCTGCTCCAGAAGTTATATCGAGGATTCTGCCAAACAAATTGCCCATGAGTAAACCCCTCAGAAGATATCCCTCCCCCAAACATAAACAAGCTAAAAAATGTGCGATTTCTCCTTGATCGAATACTTCCTTTTTTCTTAATCTCACCGCTCACACCCTTTATGCACTTTTTGGAAATTAAAATTGTAATACATTAATTGACGCAATTCAAATGAATGGATTGAGGTGTTGCATGATCATGGATGGATATGGGTGTGTGATGAAAGAGATGGATGTACAACCTTTAAAATTTCAATCCGCCACTATACAGCAGAGTGTGACCCAGTGACCCGCACAATAATTCATCACCTCATGGTTAAGTACACAAGCGTGATAATGGCTGCATGGGGCTGGGTGGAGTTAAATGGATATCCCTCTCCTACTCCCATGCAGGCACAACCCGCAACCGGCACAGGTAGCACGAATTGAAACATTACCACATCCTCTACAAGTTCTCAAAGCCATCAAACTTTTTCCAGAGGAATACACTCCACTATGGAAATGATTATGATTTGCAATGGAGCCAAAGACTCACTATTTTTTGGCTTGGGAATATGATGAAATAAAACAAAATGGCTCACTACACTGTTTGCGCTTCTTTATTATGAAAGAGCAGTCAGTCCATGCAATTTTTGATGTGATTTTCATTATGGGTCATCCGGAAATAGTCTCAGTGTGCTTTAGTACAGGGGTAAGACTGTGTACATCCGATCCCCCCTTACCCCACCATAGGTGGGAGCCTTTGCGGCACTGAGGTAATGATGATGATGAATGATGATGGTGAACTTTACGTGGAGTAGGAGTTTTCATAAGCATACCTTTATCAGCTCAATGAAAGTGATCAGAAGACCCCAGGGATGAGGTCTGTTGACAATTAGGCGCTCCAACAGGACTCTTGTGATCTGTTCTTGGATCACTTCCTGCTTGGATCACCAATTAATAGTAAAAAACACTTAAATATCTAAAAATGGATTGCTTAAATTTTACATGTAATATGTTCTAAAACACAGAAATTCAACAAAGACAAATCCTGAGGGAAGACGAAACCCATCATAAAATCTATACACATGCATAGATATCATTAAAGTTCAAACCCCCTGCTAAAATATCAGCGAGTAATACCAAATTCTGTCAATGAGTTAGAAACCCACCCCACTACAACATGTCCATGACTAATACCAAATTCTGCCATTTCAAACCAGTATTCGTGATTGTTTCATGTACATTAGCCGGGTGAGACAACATCAAATACGGTTCTCTCAATCGCACTAATGTTATATGAACATAGTTAATAACTTGAACGCAATCACATGTTAATAACTTAATGCCGTCCCATCATTGCCAACCCTTCTTATCCCCCCCCCCCCCCTATGCTTTAGCCTGTACCAAGGGCCACCAACACACAGGCAGGATTAGAAAACCAAGTAAAGACAGTGAGGATGAACATAAACCTAGAGACCATATTGGCATTCAGTTAATAATTGAATACAAAATAAAAGATAAAGTCGGAACTCTGAAGAAACCAAAACATATAAATGCCCATGCGATTATTTTAGAAATGACGGAAAATGGAGCTCAACCATACCTGATTTGGTTCGGAGGAGAAAAGGTAGAGGAGGATGAATGAGAAGTAATGTGTGTGATTGTTTGGATATCGCAATTGATTAGCAACCGCATTCAAGAAGAGGTAGCGACCCTCAGTATCCAAGTCCATTATAAATGACTGAAATATGTCCAGAGCAGCCCCCACTAAGAAAACAGGATATGAAACACTGCTTGTCATTGCCTGTGAATGAGATGCAGTTCTTGCTTGCAGCTGTTGTATAGCCTACAGAAAGGTAACTCAACAACTATTTAGTAAATAATAAATCAATATCACTCGCACCTTTACAAGAAATTATTGAGAAATAGCAGAATGGGTAGAATGTATTGTATTGACGTACCAACATCCCAACATAAAGAACAAGAGAGTTAATGAGAGGGACATTGTAACGAGTCCCTGCACGGGCAGACTCTGCAGGAGAGAGTAACACTTTTTGCTTCAACTCACCAAGAAACAGAGACCCATGTTGCCTTGTCTGTATAGGGGTGATCAGTACAAGAATACCAAAATAAGAACGAATTTATGTTTACACACACACAACTATTACTATAAGCAAATTGGAGAACGGTGAGATTATTCTTGTTCGGATTTACCTTCAAGTATTCATCTATGTCACTCTTTATCTGCTTTGTTTTAAGAGCAGCATCAACTTCAGAAAGAATCCGTGGAGATTGACTTATCTCTGCCAGTAGATCAATCTGCAGGGCAAGTAAAGGAATGTTTATTTCCGCTCAGATTGATAAAATGAATTGTTAGAATCGAGTTCCAGTTAGATTCACCTTCAGGTTAGGAGTGGAAGGATCAGGTAGCCTCATATTGCGAGGGAATGCACTGAGAATAATATTTCGCATCTGTATGCAGCTTGGGGGGATTACATCACAGAAGCTGAAATGATAGTCACAAAGGAACTCCGGAAAGTCATGAAGGAGAACCAACAGCACCCTGAGTGTCCCTTTATATAGGAAATGAACCTGATTCCAGAATAAAAGAGAATAGTAAGACGGAACTCTCTGAAAGCAATAGATTAACTACCATGGTAATCTATAAAACAAAGACAAACCGCTTCTCCAAGTTCAGCATTCCTCAAAAATGGCTCCATGAACTGAAATAGGTCGACCAGCAATCGCTGAAAGTAAGGCCATCCTTTCTGAGCATTTGCGGTGAGTAGTTTTGGCATGAAACTCCTGTGACTAACCAGCTCAAGCCAGGCAAAGCTGAGACAAAATCATCAATTAAGCCAAAGATGAAGACTTCTCAGTGAAAACTATGTTAAAGAAAGAATAGCAACACTTTTTATTTGAACTACACTTGGTATTTATAACAAATGTAATTAGATTTTTATCCTCTTCAGAAATCATAACTTGACCATGGAGTTGACCATAGACATGGGAGAACAACGATAACACATAATGGGGAAACAATAACCTGAATCCAGGAACCTTGAGGGGTTGAAGGGCATGGAAAGCATTTGCTAAAGCAGTCAGAACCTAAAACCAGATGCACCAACAAAAAAAGTTAATACCATGCCAGTTAAAGAGCAGCCAACCTCAATAACGTATATATCATAGTATACACCTGAAAGTTTGCACCATCAAAAACTGGCTCTAATGAACAGAAATCCAAGAGCCAATTAATATATAGTCTAAAATATGGTCTGGGATTAAAGGAAGCCTTCTTTTCTTCAGAATCTTTCTGAATGAACTTGACTGTTACTGCAAGGACCTGTCATGGAAATAAATAGCTTCACACATCTAAGGCAAACATACAAAATGTAAGCTCCCCCTCAACCTCCAGAACCCATACCTTCGGCAAAAGGGAAAGTTTACTCACTCCTTGATCCGCAGGATAAAACTGCACAAGTGCACAAGAAGTGGAATTAATAAGAAAAACAAAACGTTATGGATATGATAATCTTCAAACAAAGTGTAACGAATACAAAGAAAGACAGAAAACAAATACAAACCTTCAGAACAGAATACACCAATTTAGCATAAATATCAATAGCAAGGAATGACAGAGGTTGCACATGATGTGATTGAGGACTTGAACTAATAACCTCAGATGACAAGCAGTGTGAAACTGAGAGTTCCTGGAAAGGAAAACACAATTACTGTAAACCTAAAGATCTTGACATTTTTCATTTTGAATCATTATAACAGGAGACATCAAGCACTGACCATGAGCAAGCGGAAGAAGCGATCTGAGGCCTCATCCCCTTCTAATAAGCCACTCTGGTGCAGTTGCGTAACATAGTGTGCATACACAGATTCACTTGCACCATGAAGTTCACATATTCGGTACCATTCAGCGAATAACATGGAGACCTAGAAAAGCAAATAATGATAAGGGACACTGATACCAAATAAATGAATAAGTTATATGAACTAGGCATCTATAACCACTGGTATACTGCATCGGCTGAAGACCATTAGGCGGACTAAACTCAACCTCTTGATTTAGAGTATATGAGATGTTTTCATTTCCAAAAACTTATTTCATTGAAATTGATAACGCTCTGCACTTTGTTTTTCGAACATTGGCTTAACCATATGACATCAGGAAGGACAAGAGAGTAAACAAATAAAAGTGTTCAAAACCAACTTATAACAGTTTATTTCTTGTGGCATTCTTTGATACTTAATAGTGGTTGACCACAGCACTATTCAGCTATAGAGTGATAATGGCACCCATACGGTTCTGTCTACCTGTCTTTCTGTGGACCAATAAAACAAAGGAAGCTTACACTAGATCACTATAGCAAATCCTAGCAAACAATATAGAATTTCCTCTTTAGGACTGGAAACAATTTATTTCAAGTATCTGGTGGATGAATTGTGTTTCTACTGAAAAGTTCAGAAGTAAGTACAGAAAAGAAACTTCATGAAGCATCAAGAAATTCGGTCAAGCCACTGCTGTGGCATTCTTCCCAAATAACTTCATGAAGTATTAAAACAAATATATAGCATATTCACACTGTGTATGGAAATACTTGTTCACGAAATTCAGCAGGGTCAGGCTCCACGGATTCAGAGCAAATGTCATTTCTAGATACTGGAACTACAACAGCCTGTCACAAAATAAACTTATATTTCAGATCCTCTAAAAACATTAGTAAGATGTTACGAGGTAAAGAACATGTCACTTCCAGAAACCTTTTTGTCTATTAACTGTTGTATATTATCCTCCTTCCCACAGGCCAAACCAGCAGCACTAACCGGAGGAATTTTAGCCATCTCAACCAGCTGTTTTAAAGATTCAGGAGAACCAGGTCTGGCGGCAAGCTGAAGATTTTAAAATATCAAAAAAAAACTTACATTAAGAAATAAGACTATAGCTACAACTGGGACAAAATTAAAAAAAAAATAGAGTAACACAATGCCTTTGCAAGTGCATCCACAATGTTTTGTAGCTCAGATATTGCTCTGGATTCACTCATCACTAAAGTTTGTATAAGAGATATGGCGAACTCAGTCGCAGCCTCTGCACAACAAAACAAAACAATTAGTAAAGCTAAAAACCAATACCATTCAAAGTTTTGGTCACGTACTATTTCTTCCTGCATCAAGAAGTTTTGCCATATGAGCATTGTACTCAGCAAGGTTAATTAGTTCACTCCGTATAAGACCAAAAGTAATTTCCTTGTTGAACTTCCACTCCTCATCAGAGTACGTCACCTGCACACATGGATGCTTTATCATATCAGATGACACACCCCAACGAAATTTACCATTACATCAATAAACGGTATACCCACTAGGCCACTACTCCCTCCGTCCCCTTTTAAATGTCCCATTTTATCATATTGGGATGTCCCTATTTAATTGTCCCATACCTTATTTGGTAAAGTTTGTGTGGCTCAAAATCATTCTTACTTTATTCTTACTTTATCAATTAATATCAACCACACAAACCCATTTTTCTTAAAACTCGTGCCACCCTCTCTTCTGGGACATTTAAAAGGGGACGGAGGGAGTATATACTAATGCATGATCCATCATCATTGGGATATTCTATAGGAATGGAATAAATACTGCATAAAGTAAAACTCATAAACATATTTAAATAGATAAAAAAGCAATGGTATAATAAGTGTGCATTTGTGGGTGGGTGTTAGATATATGTGTGACACCAGTGTTTCAACATCAACAACCAGATAGATTCTAAGAAGCACAAAGGCACTTCCGAAGTGTCAATTTTCTGAAGCCCGTTTTCTAAAGAGCTGCCTCTGATGTTTCTTCTAGGGTCGAGTTTCAAAAGTTTCGACTTGTGTTATGCTTTAAAATAACTTTTCAAAATATAGAATCTGCAGAAAAAAATCAAAATGATATTTTGGCAACATACCCAGCTAGTCAACTCTTTAACAACGAGCTTACTGACATCACGAATAGCCATCAGAATTGCCAGGTGAGCATTAACATGCACACTGTTTGATGCATTTTCATACAATCCTTTGAACACCTACAAAAAACTAGCAAACCTCAAACCACAAGTGCTGAAACATATATCTACCCTAAAGCGGGTGAATACCACACCTTTTGAGCCATGGCGAGGGCTGCCTCATCTCGACTAATGCATCTAAGAATTATTGCAGGAACTTCAGTAATAACACTCTGCCAAAAGAATCATGAAATTACATGGTACCAAATCCCAACAAGTCCAGATGACGAAACCATAAATAAAATGTACTTCCTCCGTCCCAGCTTAAGCTTCTCATTTGCCTCTTTTGAATGTCCCAGCCAAAGGTTCTCATTTCTATTTTAGGAAATAATTAGCACTCTTAAATGACAACTTAATCATAATATTAAAAATAATACATTAATAACATCACAGTTATCATCAATGACCTTATTATATATATACCCATCAAAATTACTTTTCAAAATATACTCAAACAACCTTATTTATTTATTATCTAAATAACCGTGTTATTTTTCAATGAGAAGCTTAAGTCGAGACAGAGGCAGTAGATTTAATGATAAGCAATTCTGGGTTTTTCACAGGGAAAAAACCCGGATACCTGAATTTCTGCTTCTTTAGCATCAGAAGACACCAGGCTTTCAAGCTGAGAAACAACATAAATGGTTAGATTAAATAAGTTCCAGACACTAAAAACAATAATAGTCAAATCAGCAGACATTAACAACTGTTTAAACTTCTCTTCAAAGTCAGTCAAGTTAAAGAATGAGTGAAATTGTTTAATTTAACTCCATATAGTAATATAAGGAAAACTGATAATACGAAGAGTATTAAGTTCCACAAACACAAAGATCCCAACTGTTCATCATTATTCACCTTAATCTCAAGTGCCAACAATGTTGGGACATGTGGTCGGCAACATGAATTTTGACATGTCAATTAATTATCTAGAACTAATTAACACTTCAAATTTGTGCAAAAAGTAGTGTAGAAAGGTTCCTCCAAGAAACCACGCACTCTGTGTTAATTTGGAATCATTAAGTATAATAATTAAAAGACATATTACAAAGTCAAGCATTTAATTTAAAGCCAACAAAAGAAAAAACCTATATCTACCCAAACAAATCAGAATCAAAAGCGAAAAAGGAGTACAATGTTATTGTGCAAACATATCATTATGGGGAAAGCATAATATATGTGTTTGTGCGTCTAATCTGTCTATACATGTGAGCATATGTTCGTATAATCAAGATAAGACAGAACACTGAACCTTCTCTAAAACAATCTGGTATTTATCCATTGCATCTCCTGTGGTCAATAGTTGCTCCGACATACTGCTCCCCAGACGCTCAACAGTCGCTATTAGATTTGGTGCCTGTGCCGAACGACCTAACTCCTGCAAAAAGCAGTTGTCTATTTTCAAAACAACATTCATTATCACCACGTATAAAATATACTTCCTCCGTTCTATAATTCTTGCAACATTGTAATTTTTATACTATTCACAGATCTTACTTTGACCATGATTTTCTACTAATATACATAATCAAATTATTACGTATAAAATGTTATTGAACTCTTATCAATGTGAATTTCCAAAATATCAACTTTTTATAATGTTTACTAATACATAATTAAATATAATTACAGTCACAGTTGTGCATTGGCAAACGTGAAAGTCAAACTGTTGCAAGAATTATAGAACGGAGGATAGTATTAACCTAACCAACCTTTACAACATTAGACTGTTCAGCAGGCTGCAGGTCAGACGTAGATGCTGGACAATATTGTGTAATAGTGTCATTTTCAAAACCACAATCACCAATCCCAATGTTAGGTGATGAAGCACTACAATTTATGGAAACAGTTAAAAGAAACATCAGCAATTTAAGGAAATAGAGTTTTAGAAAGAAAACTACAGAGAACTAAACACAGAATATAAATATGCTAAACAGAGTTCAGGCAAAAAACACCTATGCAACTGGGATGAACTAATGTCCGTATCTTCTGTACCAATATCTAACGACTGAGGCATGGAAGCAATTCCTGCATTAACAAGGCCAGCTGAATAAATTCCAGCATTCATCTGAGCAGAACCAGTCATATAAGCCCGAGACACAGCACTGCTACTTGGTGAAGGAGAAGGACCAACAGGCAAAGCATTTGAGCTTTGCCCAGATTGATTTTGCAGAGGCAAACGAACAAAATCCTGTACACACAGGATTGACACGAATCTTAATAAAATCTCATAAAGAAACAAATATCGCTAAAATGATGTACATACCTCATAAACTCGTTGTTGAGAATGAGACAAACGGCCAGGTTTAGGACGTAGAGCCTCAGGTAAAACTCCTAAATGCCCTGGAGTATAGAGACCTGAATCGAAGAATGTAGGACCCTCTCTGTGCTTCCTCATCGCAAGCTGTTGAGCAATAGTTTCATCAATTGTTTGTATTGCCTGCAAAAAGGTGAATCAATTTAACATAAAAGACAAAATGCAAGGCCAATGGATTAAAAAAGTAAGAGCCAGCATAATAGACCACAGCATGGTTAAAGGATAACATTCTTAAGTCTTATTCCTAAGTTAATAGAGTCTGCTATAGGACCCCAGTTCAAATTATCATAGAACAAAAGGACAATGAATTGTGAATCTCTTCGATTAGCGAGCAACATTTAGCTTTGAAAAAAGATCTTGCATACAGCTAAAACCTTAGGTTTAAGAGACTAGCAAATCAGTCTCTTACTGTATTGGAAATGATAATTAACCGCTCACGTGGTAAAGCATCCAATTAAATGCTTTAACTTAAATAAGACACCCAAGTTATCCATTTAGACGGTTTTCCTCCCGTTTTCATGTGACTCTGCTAGCACACCACTTATTTGACCAACATCTTAACATTTACCTTGCTTTATTTATTTCTTTTTATTTTATTTCTTCTTCTCTCCATCCCTGCGACACAACCTACAACCATTCCTTCTTTCTTTAACCTTCTCTCTTTTCTTTATCATTAACCTGCTTTCCTTTTTCTCTCTTTGGTTTTTCTCATTTCACTCCTTAACTGAGCACACATCTTACTTACACCATATACAGGACACCATTTAGATTAGATTTAAATTACCATATGTTTTAAAATGTTTGGAATTGTTGATCTGCTCAATTAATGTTTTTGTTGTCCTATGGGGATCAACACCAACTTTTGATTCGGGACCTACTCTTCGATTAGGCAGCCCCTCAGTCCATCCACCACTCAGCAGTGGAGGTCTACACTGCCGTAGTGAACTGTGAGGGTGCCTCACAGAAATCTACCTTGACGTGAATCTACCTTGACGTGGTCACTACGGAGTAATGTGTTAAATAGAGTGTGTCCACTTTCTTATCACCAATTGGTTTTAAGAAGGATATGACTACTATTTAACTATAGAACTTTGTACATAAACAAGCCACGGGGTAGGAAATCTCAAGGATGACCCACTGGCAGCTTGTAAAAAGGGGCGACTCCATCCTGCAAGTGGTATCAGACGAGGTCGCAAGTGAATCTCTCGCTGGGGTGATCGTCGGTCGTATGGGGATCCACACCAACCTTTGATCTGAGGCCTACTCTTTGATTAGGCCCGACTTGCTGGCACCCCGATATGGTGCAGCCCGCCAACCTCTCATGTCCATTCACCGCTCAGTCAAGGTAGTCAAAGTCATGAGGCGCATTCAAGGCGCTAGAGTATTTATATCGCCTGATGCAAAAGGCGCAAAAAAGCGGTTGCCCGACTCATGACAAGTGCGTAATTTAGAAAATATTATGTATACTATTCTAGAGTGATCAAATATGACATATTCAACATCATATTGAACTAAATGCATTAAAAGGTCGTGTATCTCAATAACAAAGTCACAATAAACAAAAAATAAAGTCATGATTCACAAAAACAAAAACCGAGCATGGTACGTTTTAGCTTATTTTGCAGTTTGAGGACTAGGGGTAGCATAATATGTGTAGTGTATGAAACTATTAACTAAGTTAAATTATATGAAGTTTGATACTATTATAATTGAAATGATAATAAGAAGATATAGAGTTATAGACGGTATAATAAGATGAAGCAAAGAGAGCTATAAAGTATAGAATATATAAGAAGCAAAGAGAGCTAAAGTATAGAATATATAAGAAGCAAAGAGAACTATAAAGTATAGAATATATAAGAAGCAAAGAGAGCTATAAAGTATAGAATATATAAGCAAATATAACTATAAAGTATGCATAGTCAGGTACATATAATATGTTTGAGCTGTATACTATATCAATGTTTAAAATTGTGCAACGCCTTTACGCAATAAGGCGCACTTTACAACTTTTGGGGATTTCAGGTTGCAAGGCTTAAACGCAAATAGGCAATTAAGAAGTATGGGCCTTTTTTGCTAAGGCGTACGATAATTGCGTCCGCTATATAGCGGATGTTGAGGCGCGCCACAAATAACAGGCCAACTCTACAGCCCAAATCCCCCAAACAAAATTTTATTTTCAAAAAACATATCATCGTCTGTAAGTCACGACCTCTGCAGACTAAACGGCGCCTACATTCTTCTCTGTGTGCTTTGGTCTTGCTTTTCTTCACGTATGGCCTGGTTGTCTACGTGTTTTATTTATTTATTGATAATTGATATAGGTAGAAGTGACCAGTGGGCACTGGGCAGAATAATAAGTACTCCACGTAGAAGAGATTTTAGTGGATGAATTTTATATTACTTTATTTATTAGCTTCTGCGTTAGATAGTGGGGTAATATTATATTATTTATTAACTTTTTGTTAGTTAGTGGGTGATTATTATACGGAGTACTACGTATTAGATAGTATTTTATTACATGAAATTATATTACAGAGTACTTAATTAGCTTATTTGTTGGTTAGTGGATGAATATTATATTTTTTTATAAGTTTTTTTGTTCGTTATACACCTTGTAGTCCGCAGAAAATATCTTAATACATGGTGGATGCATATTATTTTATTATATTATGTTGTTTGTATAAGTTATACGCATAGTATTTTATTAGCTTCTTTATTAGAAAATATTTGTTTTGAATTATGTTCGAACATATTTTTGGATGGTTTATGATCTCAATTTTGTTGGTTTTCATCAGGAAATTGGTTAACTTTTACTTTAGATTAACTACACTGGTTGTAATTTTTTAAATAAATTTGTTTAAAAGTTGAGGCTTACGCCTCATTGCGCAATGAGGCTTACGCAATAGGCAATGCTATGAAACCGCCTCAAAGACGCAATACGCAATTTCGAACCTTGTACTATATATAAGAAGAAAAGAGAACTATAAAAGGAAGAAGATAGACTGAAAGAATTAAAAAATCAAGGATCAACAAGAAGATAACATAAATGAAAACTACAATCTGAAAAAGAAAGATGAAAGGACATGGGAAGATGATGATGATGAAGACACCTTATGGGTTTCTGACTTATGTTGGTTGATTGTTGAATGGTGTTTCAGCGCTGAACTAGTTGCACAAGTAGAGCATAGGAGAGTAACGATGAAGTCACGCTATATAAGGCTTTTACCATGACTTAGAAGTTAGAAGGGTTTATGATGGGTTGAAGTTATTTTGACCTGTTATTTGAATGGGCTAAATCTTATTATATGTATGGGCTTATTATTTAAAGTAGGACCAAACAAATGAATAGGCTTATGTCCTTCCCAGGCCAGGCGACTTGAGCATTCACTTTTCAGCAATTCAGGCCTTCAGCGCTTATTGAAGCCAGGGACTCTAACGGGCACTGACCCTCATATGCGCCTAGCCCGGTGCGCTTCGGTGCCCAGGCACGCGCTTTAAACTACACTGCGCTCAATAGTGGGGCTTTGCACAGCCGTAGTGAACTATGGGGTGCCTCACAAGAATCTACCATTGACATGGTCACTACAGAGTAATGTGTTAAATAGAGTGTGTTCATTGTCTACCTTCTTATCATCAATTGGTTTTAAGAAGGTTATGGCTACTATTTAATTATAGAACTCTGTAGTTAAACGAGCCCGGGGGCAGGAAATCCCAAGGATGGGTGACCCACTAGGAAGATTGTAAAAAGCGGTGAATCGATCCTACTGTTTCGGAAAAGAAAGTGATATAGGTTTTCTAGATTGGTTCAATTAATCTTTAATATGGTTAGATTTGTACATGAGGTGTTAAAATACTTGCTATCGGGGTTGACAAGGTTCTTCACACAAATATAGTCTGCCAAAACCAGAAGCTCAAGGAATACGCTTAGCTTTAATGTTTTTATTTTATTTATGGATATGGTTACATAATTAATGAAGGTCTCAAATATGGTTTTTTGGTATAAACGTGATAGGGACCCACCTATTAACTAATAAATAGACTAGTAGCTATTAGTTAAAATGTTGTATTAGATATTAAATAAAGTGAGTTGCTGGACTACTATAAATAGAAGGTAGGCTGGGAGGGTAAGCAGGCTTTTGGACTTGGGTCTTGGGACTGGGAAGATTGAGAATTATTTCTCTCTCTTTGGGGGCTTCGGCTCATCAGGGGGCTTCGGCCTTGTTACTTTTCTCCTGTAATCGATCTTCCTCTTCAATAAAGATTTTCAGATTGTTTCATTGTTAATCTTTCTGTTTCATTGTTCTGGATTCTTGGGGTTCCTATCATTGGTATCAGAGCCTTCGATCGCTGGTTGAGATACTCGCGCGCAAAATGGAAGGGAGAATTAACGACCTGGAAAGAAAACAAAAAGAAACATCGGCAAAAATGGCGACGATGGCAGCGACCTTGGCAGTCATAAAGACGGACATCGCAAAGCTTGAAAGAAAATTCCAGAGTCGCTCGCGGAACAGATCACATGTGTCAAACGCATCGCAGCGCGACTCTCATCATCGCGATTCTCATCATCGCAATTCAAAGGATTCCGAAGAGCAGTGGCTGCGAAGGAGAACTGAAGATCGATCGAGCAATTATAGACATCATCCGCCATCGCAGAGGGAGTCCCAGACGAAATCGCGAACTTTCTCCCTAAGTTCTCAATCGGGAACTCCTTCTCAGAGTTCGCAGATTTCCTCACCGGCCAGCAGTTCGCGTTCAAGAAAGACACGATCGAAAGGAGAATCTTCTTCTTCACCAAAGGATTTTCACTGTTCATCTTCTTCGTCTACTTCGTCTAAAGTCACTTCTCGGAAGTCAGCTAGTCCAAAGAAGGAGGAATTACCTCTATTCTACGAGCCTGAAGCGTACGAATGGATAGAGAAGATGGAAATATATTTCTGAGTCCAAGCTATTGCAAAAAGATTTAAAGTGGACATTGCAGCAAAGGCTATGGGGGAAGAAGCGTGCGGCTGGTTTCATTGGTGGGATTTTCAAAAGAGAGAAGATAGTTGGGAGGCTCTAAAGGAAGATTTGATTAAGGATTTTCCACCTAAACACCGGCAGAAGACAGGAAGGACAGAAAGGCAAGAATCCTCAAGGTCACGAAAAACTTCTTCCAGTTCGCAATCAAGAACTTCTTCCAGTTCGCAATCAAGAACTTCTTCCCGTTCGCAATCAAAAACTTCTTCATTCAGTTCGCAGGAATCATCGTTAAGCCGGCAGCGAAAACAGGAGTCATCAAGGTCGCAAAGAACTTCTCGCTCACAAGTTTCTCAATCAGCGCTAGAAATTTACCAGTCCACAAAGAAGGTTCAGATGGAACCAACTGAATCTGTAATCAAGCAAGTGAATAAGAAAGACGAAATCAAGGAGAAACGACAGGGTATTCAAGGGCCAGATTATGCTTATTCTAATCTTGCAGAGGGTGTGGATTTAACTTCCAACCAAGTTTCTATTGCTGACAAGCTTATTCAGCCATGTTCTGTTGGAAATAGAGCCCTAATTGTTTCTGAAACTGTTCTTGTCAAAAGTCAACTATGTTTACAACCAAAGGAAAGGTTATCAGAAAAATTATGTGTTGGTAAAAATGAAACTGGTACAGAAGGAGGTTGGGCTTGTTTCAGGTGAATTTGCTATCATCCAGGGAAACCGTACACAGATTGATGCTGCTGATAAGTATAACCATAGCCAACACCTTGAATTACAACAAGCTGAATTTCAGCCAGGGGTTGAGAGCATGTTAGACTACCCCAAGCCTGACTTACATAATTCCCTTAGAATACATGAAAGTTATCAATTGTTGGGAGACATCTCAGAAATGACAGCTCATAACCTATTACTTCCTGAGGTTTATAAAGTCTTCACAAGGTTTTTACAGAGGTTGAACCCAAAGAGTTACCAGCAAACTCCCGCTATTAGGGCTCCTGGTAGCATACAACCCTTGGATGTTCACATTTTACCTTATGTTAGGCAAATGGGGACTAAACCACAACAACATTTTGAAGAATTGGTTATTGATACAATAGATCTTCTGACACTAGGGTTCAAACCTTTGCCAATTGATGACATCAAAGCTGTTAGAGAAGTTTCTGGTGATCCTAATACCAGGAAAATCATCCAAAGTAAGAAGCAGGAATTATGGAAATGGAGAGAAATTCCAATGGTGAAAGAAACTGAAGAAGTAATTTTTGCCCAGGGCTGCTGGATAGTGTCTGAACCGAGGGAAACTTCACTTCAAATCTCTTCTACTGCTGGAAGTTCTGCTAATGGTGTAGGTGATACACCTCAGGAAAACAAAGAAATATGCGTAGCTATTGAGGGTCTGAAGACTAAGGAAGAAGATGAAAATTCATCAATGATACTATATGTTGCAGTAACATCTGTGAAGTGGAAGAATCAAGTATGGAGGCTCCTTTTTCAGAAATCAATTAGATATTGGGAAGGTAGAAGCGCAAGGAGGAGGAAGAAGCAGAAGGTTTTGGCTGTCTCCTACCGCCCACCTTGAGGGCAAGGTGGATGTTAGGGGGGGAGTATTGATAGGGACCCACCTATTAACTAATAAATAGACTAGTAGCTATTAGTTAAAATGTTGTATTAGATATTAAATAAAGTGAGTTGCTGGACTACTATAAATAGAAGGTAGGCTGGGAGGGTAAGCAGGCTTTTGGACTTGGGTCTTGGGACTGGAAAGATTGAGAATTATTTCTCTCTCTTTGGGGGCTTCGGCTCATCTGGGGGCTTCAGCCTTGTTACTTTTCTCCTGTAATCGATCTTCCTCTTCAATAAAGATTTTCAGATTGTTTCATTGTTAATCTTTCTGTTTCATTGTTCTGGATTCTTGGGGTTCCTAACAAAACGGTAGAGGAAAATCCCATAAAGATGGTGAATTCCCGCTTAAGAATTAAGATTGTCTTCGTCTCTCTTGTTCGACGCAGAAAAAGATGACGAGTTGTCCAAGGTGTCTTTGTTGAGGTGTAGATTATGAGAGATTATGTGGCATGATGAATTCCGAATGAGCAACTAAAACATTTTGACTCAATCTGATTTGACTCATTCTACATTTGATCTATCTTAATAAATACTCCATAATAAACAGGCAATCAAAGCATTACCATATTTTGGGATACAGCCAGGTCTCATGCACTCTTTTTGCTTTATCAGGCATTACTAGAGATTATAAATTCATGTGATACAGCTAGCTTGAATGGCAGAATGATAATCAAGAAAAGAAGTAATTAATTGGGATCCAAACGCATACACATCATGTCTGACATAATTTTGAAATAGGAAACGAAATACCTTCTCAGTTGCAGCTTGCTCGATAAACGCACAACCAAGGTCTAGGTTGTCATTAGTCACTAGTTGAACAGCTTGTTCAAGGATCTCATTAGCTATATTTAATCCCTGGAGCATACTTCGAAGCTGGCTCAATATTGAACCACGTAAAGGTTCCTAGGGGTTGAAAAAATGCCACATTTCACATATTAAGTTATGTACAAAATGCATCAAAACAAAAAGTAAATGAAATAATGATAAAAACACTGATTCCTATGATACTATCTACCTTGCATGTCACATGAGCGAGACTTCCTGCTAAACTAGCAACCATCAGGTGTGCAGCATTACGTATTCGGGTCTCATCAGACTCCATGGCATAGTCCTTCCAAATACAATTTTATTATGGATTCAGAGGGTGGGAACATTAAAGTGCCTTTGTGCACACACACTGTATGTAGACTAAAGAGGTGTTGTAATATTTCACGAAGTAATTGGATGAGAAGGATGTGTTTTAAAACCTTCAAAACAAGTTCCTTTGTTGTTTGAGTAGCTATAGAAACACTACGGTGCACAATGCTAGTAACTATCTCCTTCATAGCTCTATCCAAGGCAGTGGGAAGCACACTGCAGCAACAAAGAATAATAGACAAAAACGTAACTACCAACTACCATAATAAACATAGTCCTAGGAAGGGATGCCGTTGCAGTACAAGTTTTGCACCTTTGAAAATGTAAATGCATGCCCAAAGCACGAAGCTTTGGGTTGATGATTACTTGCTGTTCAATATTAGATGTGGGTGCAGGAAGCTGCAACAACAGTTAACAATTAATTATTTATATTGCATCAGCTTTATAGCAAGACAAACCCACTTCAAAACTTAATTGCAAATGCAGGTGCCAAATACCTGACTAACAGAAAATGGTGTCTGCCCTTGCAAGAGGACTTGACGCTGGTCAGAAAAACCTACGAGCTTTTCATCCTCCATAAGTGTTGCAGATGGAAGATGGAGTGGAGGAGCATACTAGACAATCGTGTAAAGTAAGTGGTAATGATAAGTTGTAACACCTGAAGTCAAATAATGGATAAAAAAGCATTTACCTGAGATAATAATCTTGGATGACTGCCAGGATGAGATGGATTTGATGCCTCAGCCGGTAATTCAACCGGATTAGGGGTAGGTGTAATTCCTGATTTGCCATCAGTAACCATCGGGGGCTGAGAAGATCCAACATCTTTATTTGAAAAATCAGGATTCCCTTCAACTTCTCTAATCCTGTCTTTAAGCAGAGAAGTTGGCACTACATTTTTCAAGTCTACGCCAAGGTTTTTGAACAGCACCTGATATGAAATAAAAAGAAAACAGAGGCAGACATGAGTGAGACCATCCAAGACACAGTATACAAGTAGGATAAAGAGAAAAGGATATCTATGAATACCTCAATATCGAATTTGAGGTTCATCTTTAAATTCGGCATTGTGTAAATCTCAGCAAGTAATCCAAGTATACCCATTGTCCATGGATTAGGGGGCTGATATGCGATGCTGTTCTGACATGGTTCCAATATCTGCAACAGGCAATGACATATAAAACATCACAACAATAAACACAAAAAAAATAATAGCACTTATCACAAGGATAATGCAGAAACCTTCGAGGTAAACGGAATAACTGCAATCATTAGGCCTTTTTCATAAGCCTGCAACAAAAGAATAAATCAAATCATTTAAATACAAAAAGCCATCACGATAAAGCGGGACCAAAATTGTAATATGGAAAGTGTTCCAGATCCACATTACATTGTTTCAAATGTAAAAAAGAAACAAAAGCAACAACCTCTATGATCAAAGGCTTTGGATCAATATGCCTAGCACGCAAAACTTGATTCCTGCCAATTGTTATCTTCCCTAGCCAACTTCCTAGATTTTTTAGCAATGAACGTTCCTCTGAACTTGACTTTATAAGCTCTGATCCTAACAGAACCTGTTAAAAATAGAAGATACAGAGTATAAAAGATATAGCCTATAGTTTTAGGGCCCATTTATTTGACCGTATCTATTGAATTCTTTGAAAGGATTAGCTCTTGGCTATGTACTTTAGCGAATGGGTCAAAGGCTGAGTAGTGATTCGGACCAATTACTCAGGACTAATCGCTGATTAATTGGCCTTGTATTAGTGAATTTTCTAAAAACATATGCCACAATATTCTAATAATACAAGTCCAACAAGTCTTACATACAAAGAGAAAACAATAATTCACAATAACTAACATTATACAAAATATACTCAAGGAATATCACGACATCTAACTAACCCTAACTAATCGTATCCTAAATTAATCATCATTTGCTTAAAATACAACAGTATCTTCATTTTGTATTTGTTATTCATAGATAACACTAATATGAATGTCCAAAAACACAAATTAAGATAGTTTTTTGTTAAAATGAAGTCCCTGATTTCTTTTTTAATTCCACTGATGACTGGCCCAATTTTTATTTTAAACTTTTCACTTAAGACCTAGTTACTCACCAAGTAAACGGAACCACCAAGTCGCTAAAGTCACCAAGTCCTCATTAAGTAACTCAGTTTCTTGAACCGGACCAAGCAGGAAGACAAGTCAGCAAGATCCAGGGCTGAGTAGTGAGTTACTCTGGACTACTCACAGATTAGATAATACTTCCTCCATTCGGATATAAATGCTACATAGGGCTGGGCGCAGGGACCAAGGAATACAGATAAAGTAAATTTTATCCGGTTCTACCCTCTTTGCTGACAATCTTATGACAACAGATTATTTTTCTTTTACCCATCTTCTTTTTACTTTCTTCTACAACTCTCGATCTAAAGACAAAATACTATCACACCTCTTAATCTAGACCAAATATTACGGTAATTGCTGCTTTTGTGATTCTAGTTTTACTCCACTTTCATTCTAGATTTTCAGTCTCCTAAGACCCTTTTGGTTCTTCATTCCGATACTTCGTTATTCGTTATTGTCAATTTGTAATTCGTCAGTTTTATCCACAATCGAGATCATCCGAGGTTGGTCTCTCCGAAATTCTAATTTTTTAAGCATATCAGCTGGGGGAATCATGAGAAGCGCAGACGGAGTCAAAAGACTTAGCTCTAGGATTTTCTACGGATGTAAAATTAAAAAAATACGGAGTAGTTGGAAAAGAAATGGTAGAAAGAAAGTAATGGAAGAAGAAGGATGACTGAAATGTAAGTTGAAACAAAAAGGTGGAAATAAGATTAAAGAATATGGCATAGAGAAATAATGGAATGAAAAAAAAGGATTACCATGGAAGAGGAGTCTGGGTGACAGAAGGAGACAACTAATTTAAGAAAGAGAAGAAGTAGATGAGAAATATAAAGGGCTGGTAGCCTGGCACGACGTGGATATTTAATTTGGGGTAAGAATACATCACATGGGTGGAAAGGGTATTCTAGTCTTTAGTGACTGCCATTTTAACCTAAAAACGAAATGTTGCATTTATATTGAAACTTCCGAAAAAGGAAAGCGTTGCATTTATTTAAGAACGGAGGAAGTATAAGCATTTGGTAACAAGCTATGAAGCTATCTCAGCCAAAAAAGAATATACAAAGCTACTTATTCTCCTTATGCTTTTGATGAATGATACTAGACGGAACCTTATACTTGCTAACTGTTCTAATTCGGAGTACTTGGAAAATAGAAAGACAAACCTTGCAGTTTTCATAGGTAGCTTCGACAACTTCTTTGAACAAGGCCTTTGAGTTCACCTTGTCTAAGAACTTCAAGTACAAGTCATGAAAATTTTGCTCAATACTAGCTCTGTGAAAACCAAATAAAATAAGAAAAAGTGAGAATGACTCCATATGTTAACAGTGATCCATAAAATATAGAACTATAAAGTAAACTTCATGTATGAAAGAAACACATTTTAATTTCACCTTTTCATCACCATATACTGAGCAAACCAGGGGTAATACTGCTCTTTTATTATTTCAGCAAATTCTTTTGCTTTTGTGTCAACATTTTGAATGGCCAAGTTATTAATGATAAATGACACTTTATCCTGCACTTCTGAGGCTGGTGCCTGTGTAACAAGATTAAAAGATAAGCTTTGAATTCAGATGATATCATGGGCCATCCGAAAACAGCCTCTCTGTACTTTAGTACAGGGGTAAGGCTGCGTACATCCGACCCCCGACCCCTTACCCCACCGCAGGTGGGAGCATTTGCGGCACTAGGGTAATGTTGTTGTATCGAATTCAGATGATAAAGAAGAGCATGAACAATTTGCATGACAACAATGTTGTTAAATGATGGTCATGGAAACATCACGGCTGAATAACATGGCAGATATTTTGCAAATCATTATTATGAAGAGTTTGGAGATTAACTGTCTGATGCGGGGTAGGCCGACCCCATGCAGAGTGAAACTTTGGCCATCCGCCATTAATAACAATGCAACTCTAATCATAATAAAGTTGGTAACAAACTTCATGTTTTCATAATGCAAAAACCTAGACAAACACACTTTACTACCAAGATACATAGCTTACAGCAGAACACAGAAGAAGCATCAATAATGCCATACAGAGAGCTAAGCCTCTTTCATAATAAGGTTTCTTGCGTAAAGGAAAATATTAGGATAGTAGAGTAGCAACGACTTTCTATTAGAAAATTAGTTTCTTGACTAAATTGCCTCAGGAAAAACCAGGATTTTATCACACCATTGCATGCAATCCATAGTAAGACAAAAAGTGACATAGAATGACAAGCACATACCTCTATTGGTGTTACTCTTCTCTCAGCAGCAGCAACAAGTGTTTCAATATTTAATGCAGATCCAAACCCTATATCAAAGATCAGCTTAAACATTAGAACTAGAGAGATTTTGAACATAATAGGGAACTCAAAGAAAGTAAAATTTTAATGAATTTAAGTCAACCAACCCATACTTGTTGAGTTTGCCCGTGATGGACGAGTAAAACCCGGGGATACGGTGAGCGCTGCTGAAGAACTGAGCGAAATCTGTGGCTGTATTCAGCAAATACAAATGCATAACAATGTTTTTAGAATTGGCAAACTCTACAAAATTGTCATAACACATACTCCCTTCATCCCAAATATGATTTCCTATTGCCTCTTGGAACAAAATTGTCACCGTTTTATTGAGATTTTCATACCCGTCTGAAAAGTGGGTGATGTAAGCTGGTTAGGTAGTAATAGATTAAGGGTGAAGTAGATTGGGTAGTAAAGTTATTTTAGGAACGGGGAAACATAAATTGTGTTGATACATAATCGTTACGACGCCGACTAGTTGTCCTGGCGGTGGAGGAGAGGCACCATGCTCACTCGACTCGCATGAAGCTGCCGAGGCACAACTCAAGGTCGATTAGCCGTACGCAAGTCGCCATAGCCATGCCCAGAGCCTGTTTTTTCCAATCTGACCCGGAATTTTAGGTTTAGAAGATAATGAGTTTTAAGTTTTAACATTAGCCATCAGCCAGAACTCTGGGCCCTTCAATAATTCATCCCGTCGGCCAGGTTGCTGACACAAGTCACCGTAGTAGGACGCCACCTCATGTCGCCGTCGTATATAACTGCAGTTGCTTCACCTCTGCCTTCATTAGGGAGTGTTTGTGATTGCTTCTACTTTAAAAAGGGATTATTTGAAGTGATTTTAGAGAAAGTGCTTAATATTAAAAGTTGGTAGTGTTTGAAAAAAAAAGTGCTTTTGAAAAAGTAAAAGTTAGTAGTGATCGGTAAAAAAGTGTTTTTGTATAATAGAAAAGGTGAAAAGCAGTATAAAGCACCACTCCACCCGATTCTAGCTTTTAAGTATTTAATTTAAGCAAAAGTTGTTACTTGATGGTTTTTTATTTCCACCATTTCCAATGAAGCCAAAGGTTCACTATTTTTTGGCTTGGATGTATAATGGAATAAAGCAAAGTGGCTCACTGAAATGCCTGCACTTCTTTGTGATGAAGCAACAAGCAGTCCATGCAATTTTAGGCGCGGTTTTCACCATGGGTCATCCAGAAACAGTCTATGTGTGCTATAATACAGGAGTAAAGCTGCGTACATCTGACCCCCTTACTCCACCGTAGGTGGGAGCCTTTGCGGCACTGGGGTAACGATGAATGAAAAAAAAAAGTTGTTACTTGAAAACACCTATTTCATCTTTTTAAGCCAAAAGCTAAAAAGGACTTTTTTGCAAACACTGCCTTACTCTCGCTTGTTCCCGGGTTTTTGAAGGTTGCTGGCTGTTCTCACTTTTTGTATTCTGTTTGCTTATGCAGACAGCTTGACTGCGTCTTTTTTAAAATACTATGTATTTCATACTGTATAATGTTTTATGTACAGTAAACCTCTGCTACTCCTGCTTTTATTTCATGTCCAGTTGTTGTCCATTTATCAAATCTTTCAATATTTGTTAGTAATCGTCTGTGATACATTATTATACTTAGTATTACCTATTTTCTGTTGATTTTCTTAGTAAAAATTTATATTGAACAGTTTCCCTAGATAAAGAATATATTGTTTCATATATAAGTTTTTTAATTTAATCTCTAATATAATATTTTATTATTTATCTATAAATATTACATACGGCACAACTTGTCATGTAGTTGTCACCAAGGCCATAAGGCAGTCAGCTGGCGCCACGCATCGCCAAGCTGCCGTGACAACCATGTATGGATAATACATGAAACTGAGAAATTATCTTCAGGATGGAGTACAAAAACTAAAACACATGCCTTTGGAATATTAGATGCCTCGCTTGAAGGAACAGCCACTGGACCAGTGGATGATACGTTTTTCATTTGGACAGGGACAGCTGTGGTTTTTCTCTCCTCCAAAGTGCTCTGCTGTCTTGGAGGAAGTAAAACTGCAGATGGCACTTGCATGCCTGCTTGGGAGCTAGCAGGTGCACTCAATGAATATGTAGGACCCTGTATGACAAATATTAGACCCCCATTCTATAAATAAAAAAAATAAAAAATAAAAAACTCAAATAAGGTGTGATAAAATTCACTAGATAAACAATTTTCTCAGGATAATGGGGCATTGGTATATTTCAGGCATGCAAAGAATTAGATGCTACAGGTACGCAAATCCACACCTAAATGGAAGTATAGCAGCAGCAACAACAATAATAGAAACCAATTCACCTCCATATTCGATGTAGAAGGCTGGATATATCCCGGAATCTGGTCAGTAACAGCAATATGGCTTATCTCAGACTCGGAATGTGCAGATGAGATTCTTGCAAGTGCCCGCTCAATGTATAGAACAATATCCAAATGATTCGCACGGAGATGGGATATTTGTAAAATGTGATTGCAGTATTGTGGCCACTCAATTAAACGTTCTCGGAACTGATCCAGAGCCTTAATGCCAAAAGAAAACATCTGCACATAGAAAGCCATCAGCAATATGAAGTTCTTATTGAATGAATGAATGAATGAATGAATGAATGAATGAATAAATAAATAAATAAATAAATAAATAAATAAATAAATAAATAAATAAATAAATAAATAAATAAATAAATAAATAAATAAATAAATAAATAAATAAATAAATAAATAAATAAATAAATAAATAAATAAATAAATAAGTAAGTAAGTAAATAAATACATAAATAAATACTTTTGAATCAGCGGGTTTTCGCAAAGCATCCAAAACAGCCCGCAAGGCAATTCCAAGAGTAAGATGTGTTACAAGCTGATGCTTGATAAGCGATCCTGAAATTTAGGCAACAAAGTTCACGTTGTATGATTTGCATTGACTTTTAAATTCACAACACCAATCTTGAAATGAGACATGATTATAACAAACATCACAGCATGATATTTTACATGTAAGTTAAACAAATAACATATATTTTACATGCAAGTGAAACAAATAACCCTTCATAAGCAAGCATCGATAGGAAGTGCATCAGGCATAAAACTTTTGTCACTATGCTTTTTGAATGAATTCGTAATGTTATAAAATACACAGAGATCAGACATTTACCCTACATAGTTATAAAATACATGTACAAGTAAAGGCATCCTAATTGTATATATTGACACTTCAATATATACAAATAAATAAATCAGACCAGAAAATTTCAGTCCAAGTAAAGGCATCCTAATTGTATATATTGACACTTCAAATTTAATGCTACCAAATGAAAGGTAAGCATATAACAGGTTGAATTAACTATGCCTGGAACCACTGTACGCATATAAAAATTATCTTTAGTTTCGCTGAACAACTAAATGATAGCAAAGTGACCAACATCAACAATGCAGAACATGAATTGTGCATATTAATTTGGGGCAAATGAGTAAATGGGTAATGCATGCCCGACAGTAAATTTGCAACAGCAGGTGGTGTGACGGGCTATACAGCCCTGAGTAGTATTCCATGAATAAGGGATAGTGTACAATGTATACAGCTGTATCAGTCACTTTGTAATATTAAAGCATGTGCCCCATCTCCTACTGGAAATAGAAATGTGGGACGGTGTGTGTTTATAGCGTAGGATAGTATAGAACCTCCAGGAAGATATGCAAACACTCACCGAAGAGAACAGCAGCAATTGTAAGCTGTTTGTCTGGATATTTTGAGAAAAATTTATATTCCTCAAAAAGATTGGCAATCATAAATTCAAAAACTGCTTGTTCCCTGAAAGTAAAGACAGAGATTAGGCAATAAAAATTCCTTGATAATAAAAACCTAACCATTCCCAACAGGTTAAGGATGTTTTGACTTGGACTGTAATATGTCCTAGACCAGACCAGACCAGACTTGGATAGTTATAAAAATACAAAGAAACCAGACAATACCAGACCAGACCAGCAAATTACAGTCCAAGTAAAAACATTGTAACAGCCACTTTGACAACAAGTAGGATGACATCAAAGTTGAAACCTTTTATCAGAGGATTCTTTGAACCGAGCAAGCATTTGAATAATTGAGTCAATCGACCGTTCTTCATGAAACATTTGCTGGAAATATGAGTTCACTTCTGCTTCAATGTCATCGGCATGAGCTTCTGAGGTTGAAGAGTTAGCGCTAACAGTCTTGGACCTTGAGTTAGAATTCACTAATGTCATGTTCAGCTTTTCCAATTCCTTGGGTAAGTGAGGAGAGGAAATTAACTCCATGTGAGACTGAAGAATCTGGACACAAGGGCAAATTAATAGAAGAGCATTGATGAAGGACACTATTTAACTAATAATTAGACAACAGCTAAAGCCAAACCTTAATGAACACGGATGAAGCTTCCAAATAAATATTTGAAAGAACAGCTGGGGGATGAAAGCAGTTAGCCGAGACATCATGAACACCGAGTTGAACCTCCTTTAGAAACTTTAAGCATACCTAAAGGTAGCAATAAAAACTTTAACTCAATAGTCAAGATTTTCCTGCTCAAAGCCAAGATTCTGACATTACAACAAAGGTCAACACTCAGTTTATTGAGAAAACTACCTCATAAAACTCATCCTTAAATATACTTAAGTTGGTGCTCAACCATTTCTCAAGATCTATGAGCCCTTTCTGAGAAGCTACAGCAGCAAGTCTAATGCCAATATTAGAAGGGAGCATATCTAACACTGGTGAAACAATCTGCATAAAAAATGGGTGAATACAATCTCACCTTTCATGTTGTGGGAAGAAAGGGATAAGAGATAGAGCACGGACAAAAATACAGTATATGTTGCAAAAGATTGTGAAAGTTTGTGTCTGAAAGCTACTGAAAATTTATATAGTACAAAAAAGCAATGCAATTGAAGATCTTCAATTACTAAACAAGTCAAACCTTTAGTTCTTGACAGGCCTCCAAAACTCTGCTAATATTGTCTGGATCAATTGCTATAGCATCTATAAACCCCCTCACCAAAATGTTTGGATTGACATGCCATAAATAATGGATCATGCCCATCCGAAGAGCATTTTTCAACATTCTAGGGAAAACTGCTGAAGAAATTTCGTGATGAAGAAGATTATATGCAGTCTGCAATCCATATAGCAAAGGTTGGCTATAAACTTCAATATAAAAAACAATACAAAACGTAGGGGCTTGTTAACTAACAGAGATATTTTCCAATTCTCTTTTTTGTTTTCCGCTCTCCATTTCTGTTTTCATTTTCCAATTTTTCTATTTCCAATTTTCTGTTTTCATTTTTTAGTTTTCCATTTGCAAATCTGAAAACATGTTCATCAAACTTTTTCATCCGATTCTATGACCGATCAGAAGTCCAAAAGTATGGTCACAGTCCCAAACCGAACATAGTACAACCCAAGTAGGGTACCAGGTCTCATGTATAGGAAAGTCGGGACCAAAACCGGCCAGTCACGATCGATCTAATAATTAGTTTGACTAATTCTTTTCCCATTTCCTTAATTGTTGACATCTCAATGGCTCTTTTATAACTCTTCACTTTAAAAAATGATTTCAAAAAAATGAGACCGAACAGCCGGATCATTGACAGGCCCGGACAGGGACCACCGAGTCGTTGACAAGACCAGCCCAAGACCGCCCGGTAGTCGATCGGACCGAATAGAAACCGCCAGGTCATTGCCCGAACAGCACAGGAACTGTCGGGTCAATTACCGAACAGGATGGGGACTGTCGGGTCGTTGACTGGGCCACACGGGGATTGTCGGGTTGTTGACCGTACATGACGAGGATCGCCAGTTTGTTGACTAGACCGGATCGAACCGAGATTGCCCCACCGTCGACCGGAACCGAACATGTACCTCTTGGTCGTGAACCGGACCGGATAGGGACCGCCCCGCCAGGTTATCGACCGGATTGGACTGGAACTGTTGGGTCGTGGACCAAACCGAACTAGAATCGGATCCACCACTAGGCATAAGTAGGGCTGTTAACGAACCGAGTTTTATCGAACTATTCGAGTTCGAGCTCGGTTTTGAACCAAAGGAGTCGAGCTAAACAAGCTTTCGAACTCGAACCCGAGCAGAGTTTTAAGTTCGAAAACTTAATTGAGCCGAGCTCGAACATAGTAGTATTCGGCTCAGTTCGAACTCGAGCATATCGAACACCCTGAAATTTTAAATATAATTTATATATATTCAAAATTAAAATATAATTAGTATGATTTTATGAATTTAAATATGATTATTAACGAACTGAAAACTTGTCGAATCATTCGAGCACGAGCCTATTAACGAGCATCACCTAAATTTTTAAATTCAAGCATATTTATCGAGCTTATCGAGCGCTCGGTTCGAACATCGAACGCCTATCGAGCCGAACACGAGCTTCATTTGTAAATCTCGTTGAGCTTCAAGCTCGAACCCGAACACCACTACTTCCTTATCGAGCCGAACTCGAGCTTTGGGTGTTCGGGCTCGGCTCGGCTCGTTAACAGCCCTAGGCATAAGTATGCAAATTCATTGCAGCGACACTGCAACATCTACTTTTCAAATTTGGAAAACTAGTAAAACTCACTTCTGCGATTCATTGAGGAAAACAGAGACATCTCATTTTTTTGGTTTTACAAAACGGTTTGGTAAGCGCATTTTTCTGTTTTCTTTTCTCCAATTTTCCAGCAATTTTTTTTGGTAAATACGTATTATGTTTTCCTTTTTCCAGTTTTCTAAAAAAATGGTAAATATCTTTGTTAGTAAACAGGCCCTAGGGTTCCCACAATACACTATGTTTAGAGAACAATACATTAATATGTGACATGCCAAGAAGTAAGATTTCAGGGCAGTTCTTAAGAGGGTACTCAATAATAGATCGAACATAGCTTGCATGTCCCCTCTCAGCAAGCAGGCACAAGACTTCCAAAAGATCAAGACACAACCAAGCATGATTTGAATGCCCAAGTTGAAACTTGTTGTCATTGACAGCATCTACATATGCCTGCCAAAAAGTGATGACAGTCAGGGGAGGGGGGGAAGGAAAAACAAGAAAATACTAAACTGAGGGAGATATACCAGTTGCCTCCCGGAATGAGCAAAGGTAAATACTTCAGGAGGAGCCAAGACAGCATGACTCAGAAATGATAGCTGTCCCTCAGAATTCTTCCAGACAGAACCACAGACAGCTTGGAGAGGGAAGGGATCCTAATCATAAATACAAATTAGACCACAACACTGTCATAATGGTATGTTGCACATTGCAGCCACCTACTCGTCATTCTAAAAAATAGGCAGAGCTGAAAATAAGTAATAAGAACTTTAGCCAAAATTTGTGTTGCACATTACAGTCATCTATGCCTCAGAGCATAACCTCTACCTGCCAACATCTTCCCCTAGCCAAATTTTCTACAAATAAAATGTCTGACCTAACCTTCCTCTTACACTTTCAACTAACTGCAATCTCCACTAAAATCCCCCCCGGCCAATAGTTCTGCTGTAAATTTTTAACTGTAAGCACACCCTAACACAAATACCTTAAACTGAACAAGCTAAGAAAAAATATATGTGTAACACACCTGGCAAGCACATTTATACATGGACATGAGGAAGGAAAATGCTGTTTCATTGAAGACATAGAACCCATCATGATCTAGATTTTTTATAACAATTGCCCAATTTAGCCCAGGAGCCTGCAAAGCATCCACAGTTAGCCAAGTAAATCACAAAACGACATATGATACCATGGTTGCATATATAAGTGTGTGTGTGCGCGAGAGAGAAGTAAACTCACTAGCATCTTGATAGCATCCATGAGTATATCAGCATCCCATGAACTTGGCGAAGGTAAATCATTCACATTAGTACTTCCAAAAGCAGCTCCAAATGTTGAAAATATATTCATAGTATCCTCCAGTCCTGAATAGGTGCGCATAATCATCCCAAGTACCCTTGCAACAGTAATTTCTGTCAAGGGTAAGAAGAGAGATAAGATTTCTCTGCATTGCATGGCATTCGCCGTGCATCCATAACCTAAATCCTTCATTATATCAGCCATGCTCATCTCCTTTTCCGTCTCTATCATCAGAGAATCAAAATCATCTTCGCCATCATCATTAAAAGAATCAAAGTTCCTGGAGCAAACAAAATGATGAAATATATCGCTCAAAATATTACTAAGTATTTGTGTGCACCATATATACTGTCACGATAATCTAAGCAACACAGAAACTCTTGAACATCAAATTCCCATTCCTGTGCCATTTATGTAATTAAAAATGGGAAACCTTGTCCCCAATTAATTAGGTTTTCAAAGGCTTTTGGTCTCCATTTTTCCTTCTTGATGGCATTACATGATGGGAAATGGGAATTAATGTCTTTTATGGAACTTTTTTATGGGATTTTTCATGCCATGTCCTCATAACAATATGCTTCTTCTTGGGTTGGATGACAGCATGACTTTTTATCTTTCTTATGTTCTTTATACTTTTATCCTTTTTATTTTATCTATATTCTTTTTTATCATTTTTATCTTATCATTATTATCTTTATCTTATATATTTATCATTATCTTTATCTTACCTTTTATCGCACCTTATCTTTTAATCTTTCTTTTCTATTTACCTATGATATCATGTGTCGATTCGTGTTAGCCTACCACAATGAGTGTGTTTGGGGAAATGGGAAACGGCTAATCAGCCAAGTTTCAGCTTGACAGCTTCCTTGACGAAAATCAGCTTCTTTGACTATTCCAATAATCAATAATTTCGTTTGGCAAATAGATGTTTGCTTTGGCTGGTGCGGCTCAAAATGCCAAAAATGAAAAAGCTGGGGAGGCCAGCGTTTTGTCATAGCTGATCCCTTTAATCCATTTATGCCCTTCAATAATTATCTCCACGCTTTCAACCAGTAAATCACCTTTATCCACCACCGTCACTATTTCCTCCGGCAAACGGCAAACCCATGGCATCGCACCAACAGATAGAGAATTTTCAAGATACTACTTCAGTACTTCTATTTGGTATTACCGCCTACTTCAATAGGAGGAAAGAAAGAAAACAGGGAAAGAATGAAGCTGCGACCAATAGAAGAGGGGACTGCAATCACTGCACTCTTCAAGGTTTTCTCATAGAGCATAAAATTTGACATTGAAAATTAAAAGATTAAAAAAACCAAAAAGAGCAAAAGTACGGAAGGAGAGAAGAATTCATGAGAAGGGAGAAAAACAAAAAGGAGAGACTTGAGAGGTGCAGGAACAGAGACGCAAGGGGGTGAAGGGTGATAAAACAAAAGGCCAATATCTTTTGGGACTAAGGTTTGGATGTCATTGTCAGTGTTGTCTTCATAGCAATATGGTCTTCAAGTCTTTTAATTGCACAATGCCTTAATGCCTTGGTGGAAGTGCAATGCATTTCCTTTTTTTTTACTAATATGTGAAAATTTTCTATATTTGAACAGGCAGGCTATTTTTGTCTTAAGCTATGTAGGAAATTTTATACCAAAACAATGTTTATACATGTAGATGAAAAAATATGCATACATATACATACATACATACATACATACATATATATTTGTATATAATATATATGGAAATATATACATATAAATATAGAAAATATGCATGCATACATACATATCGAAATATATGAATATATCTCTATAATTTTATACTTACTGGTACCCCTATTGTTTAATTTATACTTTTTAAAATTTGTTTCCCTTATCTCAAGTCTCTCATTCCTCACTTCCATTTTAAGTGCATAATGATACATTAATTAATTAACATTATTAAAAAATACAATTTATAAATGAGATGTCATGTTCAATACATTTCCTCTACTCTAACTGAACCAATGTGCCAAATATATTACTACTTGTTCCTAATTATTCACATATGTTTTTACCCGTCTAAATATCATTTGCAATGGATCCAAAGAACAGCTATTTTTCGCTTGAGAATATGATGGAATAAACCAAAATGCCTCAATGAACTGTCTGCGCTTCTTTGTTATGAAGCAGCAATCAGTCCATGCAAATTTTGAGGCGAATTTCATATAGGTCATCCGGAAGCAGCCTCTTTGTGCTTTAGTACAGACGTAAGATTGCGTACATCTGACCCCCTGTTCTCACTGTAGGTGGGGAGCCTTTGCGGCATTGGAGTAGTGATGATGATGATGATGAAATATTATCCCTGGTTTCTTTCGAAGGAAAGCATTCATATTATTTCTTACTCCACTAAATAACGTTCAACCACACAATTTTCCTTTTCTTCATATCTATATCGGTTAAATTGTAATGTTAATTAGGTGACAGAGGCCGGAGGGTCTGCTACTACATTAGTAGTAATGGTAGAAGAAATACAAAGTCAACATCACCAAAAATACCTCCAAAAGTTGGTTCCACAAACTTCATTAGAAAGCAATGGAGGTAAAATCAATTGGGACCCGCCTTTCAATCCGACAAGCGACAGCATGTGAATAAACAAGTCTAAATGCTTGGAAAGGCCTTCAGATTTATTAAGAATCCATAAAATCTTCTGAATTTGTTCCTGAATTCGTTCCACAGAATCTGAAGACATTTGATTTGAGAATAACTCAACAATCCAATGCATGCAGTAGCTTTTCCCTGCAATATAGCAATACAATCTATAGTGGAACATACATCACCGATACTTGACTGGTCATCCATGTCCACTTTAAAGCTAATATTGATTAAGCATAAGTTTCTTACATCGTCATGAGTTAGAATGGCTTACCACATATTTTTACATCAGCAGTGTCAGAGTCAGACAAAGCCAGACCAACTTCAATTCTCTCCAATGCTGACAACTGTAATGCATTACACAAATTTTCTAGAAGTTCTTCATTGATTGTAAGATCTCTTACCACCACACGGAAAACAGTGCTGAAATCGGGTTTATTCAAGATGAACTTAAAAATTGAAGCATAGACTTCATCAAATCGCTTATTCTTCAGGTCTTCTCCATAAATATCAAGGTGATCAAATAAGGTTCCAAGTATCAGCTTTCTCCCCTCGATTCCATACGCTGCAAACTGCAGTTATATATTATAGAAAATTAGCTAGCTGATGCATATGAGTCACAAACATTACATTCATAACTTTTTCAAATTCCAGAGAATTGTGTGCAACAAAATCATGTAAGATTGTAATACAACACTATTAATAACACTTTCAATATCATCCTGTATTTAGTTTCCCAACAAAAACAATCATATAATTAGTCATTAACTTTGGTGCTTCAAATAACCAATTTACTAAGCAGCGAGAACCGAACCGATAAGGAATAAAAAAACAGTCAGCATTATAACCACTTCTTTCCAACGTATTTACATTCAAAATTTCACAAATATTATAATAACAGACATATCCCACAAACAACTTCCCAAAAATACTCTGACTACATCGTGGAGAACAGAATCACCTTAAATTTGTAAGGAAGACTAGAAATTTAGTGACAGTTTGGCAACAAGCTTTGATACGACTATTGATAATTCGAGCAAATGTCCTCAAACTCATTACATGAACGGGAAGTAAGTATATAACCTGGGTGAGCGCATCCATTACAGATTGGGGATCGGTATCCCTTGAACTCTGCAGTATATACTCAATCTGTGAGGAAGATGTCGAAGTGAACGGAATCATCGCAAAAGACTGAGCTAGGGTTTGTAGTTGGGATTTGGCGAGCAAGAGCAAACAGAGCTTCGAATGGGCTTCTTGGGGGTTCGATAGTTTGATGTCTCACGGATGATAATGAAGGATTCGAAGATGAGAGAATCGTTGAATTCGAGTTTAGTTGATATGAATAAAGAAAATGCGATGTGTACATCTAATAGACAAGATGTACACCATATAAAAGGCAAAAGAAAAAATTTTCAGATTTTTTACCCCCTTCCCCACCTCTCTTTCACGCGTGCGAATAAGGTTGTATACAACCGAATCGAGGTGAATAATGAGATTTTGTATTTGTATTTGTTTAATTTTTTCTGAATATGAATTCAAATTCAAATATGAAACAATTATTAATTTTGATTTGTATTTGTATTTGTTTTTAACAATACGAATAGTTAACGAATCATATACGAATATCGAATCGATTTGAGCATATGTTAAATATTAGTCAAATATTACTTAATAACAACTTTTCATATACTCTGTATTGTTTTATGTTGTAAATGCATGCTATGAGTTAATATGTGTTTTTTAGAATTTAAATTTAATGGATCAACGCATTCTTAGATGGTGCACAATATACTAAAGTGAAATAATTTTATGATTAATGAATATAAATCTATCTCAAACTTTTTGAAATAAACACTAACACACATATTAGATATTATACTTATAATGTGCTAAATAAGTTGATAATTGTATATATTAAAGTCAAGCAACTCTAATTTTTAATTAATCTTCAAATCGAATACATGCATAATTATTTGTGTTGTATCTGAAAGACATCTGAACCAAAAATTGATTTGTATTCGTATTTATATTCTGGTTTATTACAAATGGGATTGGAATCTGTATGCAAAAATGTATATATGAGCTACACTTTGCGGGTATTGCTATCTTTTAAAAGTTATTATACTGTTATTACTATTATTATTATTATTGATATTAATATTATCATTATTATTAATCGAATATATTTGATTAATAATCGAATCGAATACATTGATATTCTTATTTGTATTTGATAACAACTCGAATCAAATTTAAAATTCTTATTTGTATTTGAATTTTCGAATTTGAATCGTCTTATGCGAATTCGAATCACGAATCGAGCACAAATTATTTGATTCGTTACAACCCTACGTGTGAATCCCTTCCACAATCCTCCCGCCTCTCCACTTCCTTCCTCTTCGCCTTTTTTTTCGATTTCTGCGCATATCCCTCCACGCCGTTCATCCTCTTCGTCTAGCACCGCTGCGTCTGAAGCCGTCGTCCTCTTGTCGAAGCGCCTCACCGTCTCCGTCTCCAAGCGCCAACCTCGAAGCCGGTCTGTAGCAGCCACTTTCCACCGGAAAAAACCGTCGTGATGGTTCGTACACCACTGTCATCTCTGGCTGAGGCTTCAAAAAACGGTAATATCCACTTCTTGAACACATATGTGAGTAGTATTGTTGAAGTATATGTGGTATGTGTTTGTTGTAATTTTTTTTAAAATCATTATGAGATTTCGAAGGTGACAGTTGAAAATTAGAGTTTGATGAAGTGAGAAACACACTGTAATGGTGGTGTGGGAACCTTAAGGGGCCGGATTGTAGGAATTTGATTTTGTTTGGGAGATTGAAGTATAATGACTGTGGGCAGACGGTTAACCTTGTTCAATTGATTTTCATGGAAGTCGTTTTATATATTTACATGTGACATGATTTGTCTGTATTTTGTGATGTGTTGTATGTCTTCCTTGATAATTAATAATTGCTTGAAATGTGTATGGTATTTTTGAAGTTCACACTTAATTAACATTATTGATAAAAGTAGAATGACAGTGCACTGTACAGGAGGGGTTTAGGGTTGTTAAGTGACCATGTTGTAGGATTTCGAACATGTTTGGGACACTGCATTATGTGGTCTGTACAATGTTTGGTTTGGGGTGTACAATTGAATTAGTTGTAACTGATTTAGTGTGTACATGAACGAGTTATTTTGTGTAATTCGTAGGAAGAAGCATGAACTGGTGGTTCCGGTTGAGTCCCATTCCCAGCGCAATATTCTGTGTGCTCATATTTTGGGAAATATAAAAACTTGTTGGCTTCTATACCAGAGAGTGAACTGCAGAATTTTAAGAACCTCTTGTGGGGACATTTGGCTGAAACTCCAGAACTCCAATTTTCTGGGCAGATTGTTCATATGTTGTTGTTACGGATGGTTTGGCGACAACCTGTGGATGAGCTTTGGTTTTCTATACGAGGGAAAATCTTTAAGTTCACTTTTAAAGATTTTTGTGATATTACTCATCTTCCGGCATACACGACCAGACTCCGTTTTGTTAAAAACAGTGAGAAAGGTAGTGTGGCTAAGTTATTCTTTAAAGGAAACAAGTGTGTCACATACCAAGAACTGAAGGAAACAATGGAGGCATTCAATCCGAAGAGGAGGGTTGACCCGTTAGCAGTTGTGAAGTTGGCTTCACTTTTTGTGGTAGATGGTATGTTGCTAGCTAGAGACCATGGCACAAATATCAATGCTGATCATTTTGATTGGGTGGAAGACTTTGAGAACTTCAAAAGATATCCTTGGGCCCTTGAATCTTATAACCTAATGGTGTCCAATATGAAGTCATTGATGTGTGGTCAACCGGAGAAGTATGAGGCTTCTGTAGCCAATAACCCGAAGTACAAGAATTGTAAGTTCACTGTTTGGGCCTTACCCCATGTCTTGCAGGTTCGTTTGTACTTTGTTTGTTAACTGCGTAAATCGTCTGTGTGACAATTTGTTTAATATGTGGCCAGACATTTCATTAACAATTTGTGTGGTTGTGTATTCAGGTTTGGGCGTACGAGAAAATCCCTGAGCTTGCTCCAGGATGTGGCAACAAATTCAAATCTGAAGAATGTAGTCTTTTCAACTGGAAAGTTGTTGGGTTTTTCCACTGTACTACTTTGAAGGAACTAGTTTTTAAGGAAGAATCTTTAGAAGAAACCGTAAGAAGTTGTCAATTACATTTTTAATAATACGCATGAACTAATATCACAACTTCTAATCTAATTACTTGACTTGGATTGTAGGATGATGAGGAGGATGGTGAAGAAGATGATGAAGAAGAAGATGTTGGGGAAGAAGTTGATGGCGAAGAAGAAGATGGACTAGAAAATGAGGATGTCAAACTTTTTCGCAAAAACAAAGGATGAAATTAAGCAGTTGAGGAAAAGTGTCAGAGGCATTGAGGCCACACTCGTTGAGGTGAAAGACATGTTGTCTAAGGTGATGGGGGTGGTTCTGCATGGGAAAGTTCCCACACAAGAGCAGGTAGGATTTACAAATTTCTGTGCAGGTCATTCATTTTGTCTGTGAAGTAATATGTTATTGTTTGTGAACATAAATGTAGTTGTCTGTGTACATCTATTTTATTGTCTGTGTAGTACATCTATTTTAATGTGCTCACGAAACATGAAGTGCCAAGTGGTGAGAAGGATAATGACAAGCGTGATGATGTTCAAGATAACCACTGTACTGACCATGACATGGCGGATGTGCCCATGGAAAATAAGGTGTGATTGCCATATGTCCGTAGCCACATATGTAAATGTCTGTGTATTTTGTTCTTAATGTTTGTCAAAGTATTAACATAGAGTAGACACTGAAATTCCGGAAGAAGATAAACTCTTAAATGAGCTGAAGACTTGGGTGGAAACCCCTGCTAATGGCGAACCGGTGTGTGTGATGTTAGACATGTCACTCTATATTACTGTTGATAGAAAGTTCTTTCGTGAGCTGATATCCCCACAAGAATGACTGAGCAGTGAGGTAAGTGTACGGTTTATTATACCCATAAAGTAATTATTACTAAGTGCCTGTGTGCACAGACAATAATCAGAACTGCCTGTGTCCATAGGCAATTTATCTTGAACATTTTATGTGCTTGGATCAGTACATTTTATTTTGTGTGGACAGAAAATTGTATGATTAACTTTAACCATCATTCCTTGCAGCACATTGATGCCTTGACCAACTTGTTGAAGAGTCAGCAAATTGAGGGTCAAATCTCTAAATTAATTTCCTTGTATTTCGCGGTAATCTCTAAAATCCACAAGTTATGGAGTTTAGGTTTCTCCCATTAGTATTAAAGCTAAATGTGTTTGGTTAAATGCAAAATCAATTGAAGAAGAAAAAAATAGACAATCCAGAACATTGGAGTGGGGACATGTTGTTGAAACACATTGACTAGTGTGGCTTGTCGAAGGTGTGGCCTTCATACATATATTGTGTTGTCCACAGATAGTTGTATTCTTATTCCAATGCTACACAGACATCTTGTGTCATGGTTTTTTCATTGTCTGGTCTTCATTCCATTGAATGTTGAGGATAAACACTGGATCTTGTGTGAGGTGAATTTGAAGGAGGTGGTGGTTAAAGTTTATGATTCATTAAAGACTTCCCGAAGTGTGTGGTATGCATTTGATTTGTGCACGAGGCTTCCTTATCTACTACAAGAAATTCAACATGACCTACCACGTCCCTTACACGTTAGACCATGGGAGGCAGTGGCTGTTTATGGGGTTCCGCAACAAGGAATAGGGTAACAATAATTTCATTAAAAATCTTATGGTAATGGTGTTTGATGAACATTTATCCGTATAAGTATTTATTAAAGTGTTCTTACCTTTGTGCAGGAGTGGAGAATGTGGTGTTATGGTTATGGCGTTTGTTGAACATTTGATGCACGGCCTCCCCTTAACACCCCGGTGTGAGTATGACAACACCCGCACAATACAAAACAACTTCGCATTACGCCAATGGCGTTTGAGGAAGAATGCATAGAAGATTGAATGAGGGCTGTCCATATATTTTTGTCATTGTAATTGATGGGAACAAACACTTGAAGAAAAGTACTTCTTTTTGTTGTTACAATATTAACCATTATATGCCCCGAAGTAGTTATATATATGCTTATGTTTTTTATGTAATACTTAAACCAAACATATGTATATCAACTTCTGGTTTTGCAGTATATGATGGTAGTAAATTGGATGTGAACATTCAATTAAAAATGTGTCGATTCATATATTGTGACAAAATGTCATACATTTTGACATTTTGAATAAAGTTATGGCAAAGTATGTGGCAAAATGTCATTGATTGTCATGAGCCAAAAATTGTGTCATTACAT